ACAACTCTCTCAAGTCTCAACTATCTTTTATTATATCAATTATCGAGTTTTTACTTTCTTGTGCTGCAAAATATACAATATCAATTCAATTTTTACAGTTTATTAGTTACAATTTCAATTCATCCAATTCTCAATTCTCACAATCTCACTACATTTATCATAAATAATCACTGAAATGGATCAACTTTCATTTGTTGAGAGCTTGTTCGATACAGGATGTGAGCCACATCATGGAGAATCGCCTAGGACGCTGCAAAGTCAATTTCCAAATGAATTTGCCGATCTAAATGACATACCGATACCTGAAGATGTTCACATTCACGGTCAGGGAAGCCACAATCCAGTTGATTTGGATGATATTAACGTTCCCGAAGCGGAACATGAAGATGAAGATCAGCAATTAAATATCCCAGATGCGAGGGGAAAGCGAAAGGCCAAAAAACAAGCAACATGTTGGGATCACTTTAAGTTGATTTCAACCGAAAAAGTCGTTGATGGCCTTGCAGAATCTAAAGCAGTATGTAAATACTACGAACAAAGATTGGCATGGCAAAAAGGAATTGGTACCACTCATCTCAACCACCACTACAAATCATGTGTAGCCAGACATGGACTTCTTCCAGCTGGTCAAATACAATTGCAACTTGGCAGTCCAGGCGCCGGTTCTACAACTTCACTCCTATCCACGTGGGGGTATTCGGACGACGATACTCGAACCGGAATGGTGAAATTTGTTGCCGCCACTGAGTTGCCTCTAGCTATTGCAGACAACCAACACTTCGTCTCGTTCGTGAAAGATTATCTACAACCGAGGTACGTTGGGGTAAGTCGAAACACTCTTCGTGCCGATACAATAAATTATTTCAATAATTCAAAACAACAATTAATTATGGATTTGCAACAATATGCAGGTATTATATCCTTAACTTCTGATATATGGGAACGGGTTAATAGAAAAGCATATATAGCTGCAACCGCACACTATATAGACCCACTTTGATGCATGTATAAGAAAATTATTGCTTTTAGAATTATTGAATTTCCTCACAATGCTAATAATATATATAATGTTATTATCATTATTGTTAGAGAATATCATTGTAAGGCTAAAATTCAATCTTTTACTTTTGATAATGCTAGTGTTAATAAGGTAATTGTCGATAAATTGTGTAGGACACTTCAACCTGATTTTGGTGGGTATTTGTTTCATATTCATTGTGTGTGTCATATCTTGAATTTAATTGTGCAAGATGGTTTAAAACATATAAAGGATGAACTTCAAAGGATTAGAAATGCATTAGTATATATTACAATCTCTCCTAGTAGAAAACAAGCATTTGAAGATTTTTGTGTCGAACTAGGGGTGATGACTGCTAAAACATTTGTTAGCGACGTATGTCATAGATGGAATTTTACATACTTGCTATTAAAATCATGTGAAGGTTTCAAAAATTTAATAACTGACTTTTATAACAATAGATATGTTAGAAGTGATGACGATAGTATGTTAAATGAATCCGATTGGATTTTAGCTTTGAAAGTTAAACGATTTTTGACATTTTTTTATGAGACCACAAAGATTTTATCCAGCGTTATTACCCCACAAGCTGTATGGTGCTTGAACGCCTTTATATAATTGCAAGAACATTCCATAAATATAAAAATGATCCTGCTTTTAGTGAGATTTTAATTGCTATGGAATTAAAGTTTAGAAAATATTGGGAAGAACTGCCTATGTTATTTCCTTTAGCATACACAATGAACCCCCAATATAATATTTCGAGAACTAAATACGTAATTGATCAAATCAATAAAGTTTTAATACTCGATACACCTATCACCTATAATAATTTAGAGCAAACATTATGTGGAATGTATGATTTATATGCATAAAAAATGGGTGCGAATATTAGTCGGGTACCCTCTGCTGCACCTACTCCTTCTGCTGAAACTGAAGAAGATGCTGCGGAAATAATGAATTTATTTCAGGGCATTAATATATTTAGATATGATGCAATTGCAATGTGTTCATCTAGTGCCATGTCGTCTACATCTGCATCTCATCAAATATCGACCAATATTCAAAATGTGATGCCTGCCGAATTAATTGATTATTTCAATCATAATATGCCAACGGACAAAACAATTAAAAAAACTCCAGAAAAAGTAATTGAATTCTGGCGAAAGTATGAAAGACGTTGGCTAATTGTTTCTGCAATTGCGAAAGATCTATTGACACCTCCGGTTAGCACTGTTGCTTCGGAACTGCTTTTAGTGCAGGTAAAAGGGTTTTGACCGATGTTAGGAGCCGACTGAAAGAAGATGTTTTGGAAGCGTTAATGTGTGTGAAAGATTGGCAGGACGCTCATTTTCGACTACAAGATAAATACGCTAAAATTGCATGTCGTCAGGTAAGTGATATTTGATTTAATTATATTAATCAATTTTTTTTATTTTTTAATCGTTAAATTTAATTTTCTTTAAAAAATTGTACACGTTACAACAAGTTGTTCGTGTACAATTTTTAACTCCGCCTAATTAAAATTGATATAGCCGGTCCCCAGCCCGGATAAAGGAGGAGGGTTTACATTTTATTAACTTTAAAAAGAAATCAAAAAAATATATTTTTTGTAAATGTATTTCAAAAAATAATTCGTTTTCACTCTATAAATATTTTATAGTTTATAAAAAGTATTACAAATTACAATATGATATAAATAAATAAAAAATAAAAACTTATTTTCGTTAAATTATTTGTATTTTTTAACACTTTTTTATTTTTAAAACTCTATTCTTTATTAACTTTAAAAAGAAATCAAAAAATATATTTTTTGTAAATGTATTTCAAAAAATAATTCGTTTTCATTATATAAATATTTTATAGTTTATAAAAAGTATTACAAATTACAATATGATATAAATAAAAAATAAATAAAAACTTGTTTTCGTTAAATTATTTGTATTTTTTTACACTTTTTATTTTTTAACACTTTTTATTTTTAAAACTCTATTCTTTATTTAAAAAAAATAGGCGAGCCCACAAGTCGAAGTTCGGCTCGGCCCACGAGCTCGCCCAATTTCAACTAGCCGAATCCGAGCTCGGCTCGTTGAAAACAAGCCACGAGCTCGGCTCGCCACGAGCACGAGCCGAGCTTGTGGCATTAAGGGCCGAGCCGGCTCCATTGCCAACCCTAAAATTATGTATTATAGTTTTGTGGGCTCAGCTCGGCCCATTGCCAACCCTAAAATTATGTATTATAGTTTTGTGAGAGATGAATATCCCTTATGCATCTTATTTGTAGTTACATTTTCTGCTTCATAACCAACTATCAAGAATGACAAAAACCTTCGGTCTGGACCTATAGTTTAACTGTTAGGATCTTATGTAATGTCTTCAAAATGATAATGAAATAGTAATGATAATATAAGTTGAAAATGATAATGTAAGTTGAGAATGTGCCCATGAACAGCATGTCTTTTATACATCTTATTTGTAGTCAAATTTTCTTCTTTACAACCATCTGTTGGAAATGACAGAATCCTTCTGTTGGGATGGTATGCAACTTTTATCTATATAATTATTTTGCTTGTAAACTTAAATACGACTAATGTCTGCAAACGATAATAAAATGAAAATGATAATAAATTTTCGAATGAGTTTGAAGCAAAATAAATTTTTGAATATAGGGGTGAAACAGGAGCTTCATTCTGTGACCATTATCGTTAATTTTTATTTTTCTATTGTTCATAGATCATTCGAAGAGTTTAAATTCTCTCATCTTTCATATATTTCAAAAGGTAAGGCTAAGGCTATATCGTCCCCCTCTCATGTGTACTTCAAATTTCTAAATATAAAACGTGGTAGAGTACTCCTAACACCCCCTCACTTGTGTCTAGATGGAGGCTTAAAAACTTTATCTAGACATTGATGGGGGGAGAGTGTGTGTGTGTGTACCTTAGTATAAAATAAGTATTTTCCTACTATATGAAAAGGAGAATTAGAAGTTACTGTAGTTGGCAACAGTAAAATCTTCCATTTTATCACACTGTAGCAATTTTTTTTAATAGTGGGTGGAAGGAAAAAAAGACGTCGTGTTATCTTCAATCATTTCTCCATTTTCACGCGCCATTTCACTGCAACCATCACCTCCACTGCAATATTTCTTCATTTTCACGCACTGCTTCACTTCATCCAATCCAATACTAATAAAGAAGAGAAACTAAATGATTTAACAAATTAAAGAACAAAAAAAAAAAGAATTGCAGGCAAAAATAGAAAAAAATTATTATAAAGTTTTTGATTAAATTGAAATAATTAAAAATAAAAATAAATACTATTTAACTAAAATTGAAAAAATTACGTTATATCATAAAACGAAAAGAATTTTAAATCGAACAAAAAATTATTCATAATATGAAGAAACAAGAAATTTTAAAACAATTTTCAAAAAATATATAATAAAAACAAAAATAAATTAAACAAAAGAAAGTTACAAAAATTAAAAAAAAAAGAATATATAAATATTATTTAATTAAAATTGAAAATTTTAAATTTTATCATAAAAAGAAAAGAATTAAAAAGAATTTTAAATAAAAAATAATTCATAATATGAACAAAAAAAAAATTTTAAAATGAGGAGAAAGAATTTCTCTCCAATTTCTCCATCCATGGAGTTCTCCTCATCTACTGAGAGAATTCTTTTTTATTTTTTCCTCATTTATTTTTTCTTTTTTAAAATTTCTTTGGTTCATACTATAAATAAATATTTTTGATTTAAAGTTCTTTTTAATTCTTTTTTCTTTATGATAAAATTTAAATTTTTTAAATTTTAATTAAATAATATTTATATATTCTTTATTTAATTTTCGTAACTTTCTTTTATTTAATTTGTTTTTAAAATTCTTTTTAAAATTCTTTTTTTCATATTATAAATAATTTTTTTCGATTTAAAATTCTTTTTGTTTTATGATAAAACGTATTTTTTTCATTTTTAATAAAATAATATTTATTTTTAAGTTTTAATTATTTCAATTTAATTAAAAAACTTTATAATAATTTTTTTAAAATTTTATTTTTTATCTCCTTTTTTTATCTCTTCTTACCTGCATTTACAGTATAAAACGATATCGTTTCCCTTGAATGGCAAAACCACTTATTCCATTAATATGATAAAAGATTTAATGTATCTTACATATAATTATAGAAAAATATTAATTATTTAATTAATAATCATTAAATGTTGATCAATGTATGTTATATTCACTCCTTATACCTCAATGTTTGAGATTAATTTTTTTTTCAAAAATGGAAAAAAAATCAAAATAATGACTAAAATCAAGAATTCTAATCTTAATGATTATTCTTTTCAACTCCACATATAGAAGGTATTCTATCCTACAAAAATTCAAATGTTAGAACATTGAACAAAAAATAGTGGAATAAAGCATAATCTCAAAACATTAAGTGAACTCAATTGTAACTATCATTTTACACCAACAGAATAAAAAAAACTAAATGATTTAACAAATTAAAGAACAAAAAAAATTGCAGGCGAAAAAAAAGTTATTATAACGTCTTTTAATTGCAATGAACCAAACGATTGAACTTCACCAAACACTTCGAATCTTCAACAAGTTTTAAAAAATCTACAATTTTGACCTTAATAAAAATACAATAAATGCAAAACTCGTACAACGCATGTGACATTGACTAGTAGTTATAAATGAGAGGAAAGTTGCACAACCAAACATGAATAAATTTGAGAATACTTAAAGCATGTTTGAAAGTTGTTTATAGTTGGTCTAAATTATAAATAGATAGCATTGGGTGTAGTGGATATGCGAGTATACTGTTCGTATGAAACCCGCAAGCATACGAGATCGTTGACAAGTAATAAATTTAGTGAATTAAAAGTATCGTCCCACGAAAAATAAAATTTAATTAAGTATACTAGTATTTAATTAGATTCAAAGTAAATGAGTAAAAGTGATTTACGTGATTTTTAATTATTCTAATTTAATCTACGAAAACGTGTAAAATGTGAATTGAATATATATATGGGAAGAGTGTATTGGATTACGAATCCACCTATTATTATCTATTCCAATTCTCAATTACGTAGCTAGTTTTCCTCTTTCATTCTTGACAATCGATAATTCTATTATAATTAATTTTCTTTTCCAAGACAAATTAAATCTATCATATTCACGACCCGATCCTTTTCCTAGTCCGAATTCATATGAATATAACGCATTCAATTTCATAATTATCTCAAAGATTGCACACGTGATAAATCTTATTCCTAAAATTTATTGCACGTATGTTAATCATGCAGTATTCTAAACCTATTGTGAGCTCCCCAGCACGACAACAAGCAATCATATATTTAATTGGTGACCAAGCAATCAAATAATAAAATTAAGCATGCAAGATTAATCAACAATTGTAAGAATTTAACTATATCTGTCGACACATAAAAATTCAGCCCAAATCGAACGGCCCAAAGAATGAAACCCAATTAGAGGATCCCCAAATCAGATAGCCCAAAGAACGAAGCCCAATCAGACAATTCAAGATGAAGGCCCAAATAGGGAGGCCCGTGAACGCGGTAACACCATCGCCCAAACTTGCAAGTTGCCCAGGATCTGAGCGAATGGAATGACATGCAGTCACCCAAAGCTGCTACTCTATTCTCGCCCAAACCTTCGAGTCGCCCAAGATCTTGGCAAACATGAAGTGTTATGGTTATCAAGAAGCGGAGTTATCAAAACAGTTATTAAGCAGCCCTATCACGTTCCACGATTCAAGGAATTCAATCGAAAACGGTTGAACGACAAAGAGTAATGGCAGCAGTTAAAAAAAGGAAGTTCCATGACAAGTTGGCCATTATAGGAAAGTGGGCAGTTATAGAACGATCAAGCAGTTTTTAGACGGTTGATCACAAAGAGATCATCCAGGGAGTATAAAAGGAAGAAAAGACATAGAGCAAAAGATCCCCGAATAAAAAAAACTCTCGAACAGAGAACATGTAACTTTAAATTTCTTAGTTTAGATTTAAACACTTCTTTCAGTAACTCGTATGCTTGCGCCCCTTGGAGGCATTCTGTTTTTACTTTCCGATTGTAAAGACATCGTCGATAAAGAACACCCCTTTTTGGGACTTTGTCTTAAGAGGTTTGTCCCTTACACAATCGTTTGATCCCTTTTTAATTGTTAGCGACGAACAAGCGCGAAACAATTTGGCACGCCCAGTGGGACAGTGGTGTTTGGTGTTGAAAATACAAAAGGTGAAACAATATGCCTCAGAGATCCGATAAGGAAGCAGCAAGTCAAGGAGGAGTCCAGTCTGTGATCGAGCGATATGAGGAACAGCATGCCTCTCCACGAACAGATGGACAGAATCAGAGCAGTAAAAGTCGTTACGAACCAATGACAGAGTTGGGTCCTCGAACCATGCGTGCACTACTTGGAGAACTCACACAAGATGTCGTTGAACAGGTAAATCTTTGAAGTATTCATAATATGGAAGGATATACCCAAAATGGGAATGCACATTATGACAACATGGTCAAACAACTAAACACTTTGAACGAAATAATGAATAAGTTAGTAGGCCAAATATGTCAACCGGTTATGCCTCTTGCAAATCACTTTCAAACTAGGACAATTGTGGGACATAATCCCTCAATCCTAAATCCGAATCAAGGGATAGAACCACTTTCTGGTCTCTCTACTTCAAACCAAGGAGGTGGTGCAGTGCCAAATCAGAACAATGGTAGTGGTACGTCTAACTTGGGAGGTAATCCAAATGTAAGAGATAATGTCCTAAACAATGGACAGAATACCCCACATGTTAATGAGGGAATAGATGTTCAGGCTAATGGTAATGGCCCTAATCATGGTAACTTTATTGCCAATCAAGGACTAAATATCAGGCCTCATGCAAATCAACCGGTTAACCAACCTGTAGGAATTCTATATGACCCCAACGTCATGTTGAGGAATCAGATTATGGAAATCGTACAGGATCATATGGCTTTTGTGGTGCGTCCTGTCATTAGGCCGACTTACACAAAGCCATATCCTGATTGGGTAGACCAAGCATATCCATGGCCTAGATGGTATAAAGTGCCAGAATTCTCACTGTTTACCGGTTTAGGAGAGGTGTCTACTCTAGAACACATAGGGCGATTCACATTGCAAAGTGGTGATGTAACTGATTACCATAAAATGAGGCTTTTCCCTAGTTCATTAACAGGAGTAGCTTTCTCCTGGTTCATCAACTTGCCAGCGAACTCTGTTCAAACATGGCAACAATTGGAACAATTATTCCACGCTCAGTTTTATAAAATTGAGTCTGAAGTCACTTTGGCTGATTTGGCGAATCTACGTCAAATGCCAAACGAATGGGCAGAAAGTTTTCTCCAAAAGTTCAAGACAGCAAGAAGTAAGTATTTTGTACCTCTGCCCGAAAAAGAATTTGTCAAAATCGCTCAGGGCTGTTTGAGCTTTGATTTAAAAAAAGAAATTCCAAGACAAGGAATTTCCTAACCTTTTCCAGTTGAGTGCGAATATGATTAGGTATGAACGACAGATAAGAGAAGAAGAGCAGATGAAAAATTTTAGTAAAGGAACTTATTACAAAGACCCAAATTTTGACGTTCATACCATCAGCGACGAGTCATACGATCAAGTCAAAACGTGTTTGGCCAAATTGGTCAAAGGAGACACGTATACTTGTCCTATAATGGCTAAGCCTAGACCATCGGGCAAAGATAAGCCCATGAAAGATGGAAACATAAAGGTTAGAACGTTCTCGTTCGATGTAACCAAAGCTGACCTTATATTTGATAAATTATATAGGGATAAGCAGATAAAGCTGAGCGATAAGCATAAATTGTCAAACCCTGAACAAATTAAGGGTAAAAAATATTGTAAGTGGCATAATGCATGGTCACATTTGACTAACAATTGCTTGGTTTTTCGCCATGTATTGCAGGATGCCATTAAATCAGGACGAATTACGTTCGACGATAAGAAGAAGATGGCAGTGGATGAAAATCCTTTTCCACAGCCACTTGGAGTGAACATGGTGACGTCTGGTTTCAAAAACAAGTTGCCAAAATTCAAGTTGGTCATAGATGATGGAGAAGAGGACCCTGGACCACATCCTAGTGTCTTTGAACGAATCAAGGGGAAAGAG